AAAGAGAGAGAGAGAGAGAGAGAGAGAGAGAGAGAGAGAGAGAGAGAGAGAGAGAGGAAAGAAAGAAAGAAAGAAAGAAAGAAAGAAAGAAAGCTAAGAACTCATGTTTTCAGAAGCAGCCATGAAGCACAGAGAACAAAAAAATATATATACGTATACATATATATACATATACACATACACACACACACACACACACACACACACACACACACACATGCTTGGTTTTAGACATTCAAAGCCTGCCTCCAGTGGCTGACTTCCTCCAGGAAGGCTGTACCTGCTCAACTTTCCCAAACAGCACCATTTACCCAAGTCTATGAGGGAAATTTCTCATTCAAATCACCATTCCTGGGTCGTGACTTCAGAAGGCTATGAGGGCTTCTGGGTATAAAGTTTTAGTTCATGATCATGGTGCTGCTTATTAGGTTGCATGTTTATCTGAGCATTCTAGATGTGTAGTTTAAGGTTTCTTGTTAATTAGCTAGTTAATTAGTTTGTTAGGTTGGTTGGTTTTAGTTTTTTGGGTTTGTTTTGTGATGGTATATCACTGTATAGCCCAGGCTTGCCTCAGACTTGCAACCTTTCTGCTCCCTAAGTGCTGAGGCTTCAGGCATGTATCACCGTGCTCAGCTCTGAGTTTTGTAATTTGTTTTGCTTCTTAAAGCAATTGCAGTTTTACAACATTGATGTTTACAGTTTCAATACTAGCTGAGTTTGGTGTTATGTTATTTATTCTTAGTTCATTTCTTTTTCTCTTTTGTAGAAAGCAAAAGACATCCTTTGGATTCTACAAGTTTGCCATACTGTTCTACTAGCAAAGGTATTTACAATTAGAAATATGTAATATTATAATATAATTTTACTCATACGCAAATGCCAAGATAAAGCATAAATTCATACATACTGAAATTTTGAATATGAATTTGTCATAAATTCTTGATGCAATTGTTTAATAATTTCACTGTTAAATTTTCAGAAGTCAGAGAATTATGTGATTTATCTTTACCTGCCAATAATTTAAGCATCTAAACTTAAAAAAAAAATGGATATTATGACCAACTGGATTTAAGTTATTTTCCTATTTAGTGTTAATCTTGTTAACAGTCATGTGTTAACTCTTTCACAAGACTTTGGGAATGATCTTTACAGTGTTTCCTCTTTGAGGAAGTAGGCCATCCCTGAGAGCAATTTCCCACAACAGTGATCATTATTTAAAAAAAAGGGGGGAGGGGGTGGCTCTTACAGAGGACCCAGGTTCAATTTTCCAGCACCCATCCAGAGGCTCACAACCCTGTAACTGCAGTTCACTCTGACACCCTCTTCTTTGTGTGTGTTGGGGGTTTCTCTGTAGCTTTGGAGCCTGTCCTGAAGCTAACTCTTGTAGACCAGGCTGGCCTTGAACTCATAGAGATCTGCCTGCCTCTGCCTCCTGATTGCTGGGATTAAAGGTGTGCATCACCACCTTGACACCCTCTTCTGACCCCCAAAGAAGTCTGCAACTATTAAAAAATCATCTTCTCACTTTGTAGGAGACAGCCTTATTCTCCCCATTGTAAGTTCCATCTCTACTCTGCTCCAGAACCTTCAAGAATCCAGTCAGTGGGAGCTGGCCCTGAGGTTCGTGGTCGGTTCCTTTGGTACCTGCCTGCAGCACTCTATGTCAAACGTCATGAGTATCAATTTGAGTGAAAAGGTACAGCTTTAATAACAAATGATTTGACTTTGGGTGATTAGTGTCAAAAGCTCTGGCAAGCCAATCTCCTGTTGGCTTCATTGTGTTGGACCCTAGAGTCCAAACACCGAGGAGGAGTCAGTCGCCCCCCCCAGAGACCACCTCTCACACCACAGCTGATGTAAAAGCATTTTATTAATTCTGTCATGACAGGGTCTCAGCATTCGGGAAGCCCAGAGACGCCGAATAGCTGGTACAGGCCATTTTTAAAGGAAAAAGCCACAGAAGTAGGGGTGTGTGGGGGGGTTGTTCTTTGACTATTATGATTGGCTTATTCAAAAGGGCTATTACCAATAATTGGCTGGAGAGCAGTTGCCAGAGCAGATGAGGTAAGAGGTCACTTTGACCCCATTTCCCAGGGGCTGAGTCAAAACATACGTGTGTGGGTAATTGTTCAGGAACTGAGTCTGATGGACTCTAGTGTCCAAACACTGAGAAGGAGTCACCCCCAGAGACCACCTCATACACCACAGCCGATGCAAAAGCATGAGGATTTTTATTAATTCTGTCATGACAGGGTCCCCCAGCATTCGGGAAGCCGAGAGACCCCGAATAGCTGGTACAGTCTACTTTTAAAGGGGCCACAGAAGCAAGGGGGGTTGTTCTTTGACTATTCTGATTGGCTTATTCGAAAGGGCTATTACCAATAATTGATTGGAGAGCTGTTGCCAAATCAGATGAGGTAAGAGGTCATTTTGACCCCGTTTCCCAGGGGACCGAACCAAAATATACGTATATGGGTAATTGTTCAGGAACTGAGTACATGCGAGTGTAGCTGTTAGGTCCTTGGTTCCCAGGGGAGGAGGGGAAGCACTATGGCACAGAGGCTGAGAGGATTCAGAATTGTCAAAAATGGCTTCA